CGGTCTGTCTTATACGCACTTGCAAACACACGACCGCTCCTCCTCTTGACATCCTCTCCAGGACCCGGCACTAGCATTGCTGGCTTCGTTTCCTCGGGTATCATTTCTGAAGCACACTTGAAAATCCTGCTGATTTCAGCCACGTATCCATCAAGCGCAGTATCTTCATACTTAAAGTGTTCGGGATCTCGCGCTCGGAAAAGCGCCTCCCGCGCCATCTCGCGATCCGGATCCGACGAGCGCAGTCGCTCGATCTCATCCGACTCAAACCCAACCCTCGCTGCTAGGCTCGCCATACCATACCATGCTTTCGGGTCGGGCCTCTGAGGCACAGGTGTGTAGTCATTGTCGTCTTTCTTGGGGCACTCAGGGATCAGTTTGGTCCAATGCCGCCAGGCGTAGAGCCAGACTTGCCGGTATCCAAACTCGAACTGGTCCTCGCCGGAACCGCGTTCCCATCTACAATTGCTCTCCCCTTCCCCCACCTGGAGTGGCCATTGCTGGTGGGGCAGCCCACGACCAGTGAAGATGTGCCACATTGCCTCTCGGGTCGATAGCTTAGAAGGCCCGAAGAGCTGTCGCATCGTCTTAGCGGAGGGGCTTAGGTATTTGATGTCCTCGCAAAGGCTGAAAAGGGATGGAATTAGATGGCCAACGGAAGAAAGGCTCTCCCAGATCATGTGGCGGTCTCCACTATGGTTTACATTTGGAAATAGTTTTCCTTCTTGAAACTGCTTCGACAGAAAGGCAAAGTCATGGCTTGAAGACCCTGGCACCCTGAGCTGGACAACGTTGACTGTGTAAGGATCCAGAAGCGACATCAGCCGTATCTTGTTGCAAAGTATCTTGGTCCATGTCTGACGGATATGTCCGAAATAATGCGACACTTCCTATGCTGTCGTTAGTTTGGACTTGGGCTCGCGCGTCTGTACACTGACCTCGGGGCATTTCAGCGGCATTAGGATGTGTGCAATGCGAAACCCAGCAAAGAGCGCGGGCATCACGCGGAGAGAGTCTAGACCCGCTAGTAACGACTCGTGAGAAATGATTTGTTTTAGGTCTTTTCGCTTGTCGGGACCTAGTCGGCCCCACATTCTCTTTTCCGCAAACACTGTTCTGGGGTCTTTGGAAGGCTTGTCGGCATATTGGCGCAACTTCAAAAATATTTCGCCGTCAGAGAAATCCACAGAGTGAGAATATTCCTCGGATGGGCTTTTTCTGAGATCTGGACTAGCATCTATACAGGAGTCAAACCAAGTCAAGGGGGAAGAAAGGCGAATGTACCGCAAATACATACCATCAAGATACAGGTCGACAGTCCACCACCAGTCTCTCCGCGGAAGGAATCTCTGGGCCGCCGCCACTCGATGCAGCCCCTGCAGACACTCGATCGTAACCCCGTCAGGGATCCTCAGCTCGCACGGCAACTTTTTATAGCCCGACAG